GGGATTGACTGCTCCTAAGTAATTTCCTGTTCACCTGCAATGTCGTTAATTCATTTTCATAAGATAAAAGATAGGCTGAGTTTAGAATAATAATACTAATAATAATTTAAATTGTTTCATCTGGGATCGTGGAGTAGACTTCGACTTTACCACGATCAGACATTAGTAAATGTTTAAAGAGAAAAGTTGTCTGAGGTTATGCGTGTTTCAGAATTAATTTGGACACAACGAATATTTTGTGCATCATGTCAATTTCTAATAAGATGGATTTCACTCAAGTCATATTGACAATGAAAATGGCCTCAGACTTAAGAGCGTACTTGAACGTGTGACGAATAAATAGATAAGTGGGTGTTTCATATACCATTAGTTGATAATACAGACGTGTGGAAATACATAACCCATATAAGCTCTGTTATGAAAGTATTATCGAATGGAAAGTCCAATGTTTAAATTGTTTACTGCCGATCTTAATCATTGCATCACATTGAATGGTCAGAAACTTTGACATCATCTCGATAACGGTGAAGTATATACAAATGCCTCACAACCTTATCATCCGTCATGTACAGTCACGAAATCATTTCAGTCTTAGTGTGCGACTTTATGTATAGTCACCAAGTAATTTCAGTAGGGTGGTGTTTATCAGTGAGCGTATGAAACTCCCATCGATTCGCCAATATCAACATCAAACAGTTAATTTTTGTGACAATTTTCATCGGTAAAATATGTAATATTTAATCATTTAAAGTTTGGAATACGATCTGGAGCATAAACATTCTAACATATGCGAAATAAAGCTAGAGGAATATGATGCCTGAATGAAAAGGAAACTGTCTTTCATGTAGTCGCAGCAAAAAATGTGGCAACAAAGCCTTTAAACGATGTAATGACTGCGTATAAAAATTGCCATTTCTGCATAATATCCTATCATAAAGAGCAAACCTTGACAATGACTTGGTGAGACTGTGCAACAGTCTTTTCGAACAATTTGAGAGAGCTAAGACATAAAACATACGAAAAGACACCGAGGAGCACAGGAATTAATATGTGAAAAGGAGAAATAAAGAATTCCCCGAATGATGTGTTGTACCATGGATTTATGTCACAAAAAACCAGCTGTAAGCTTGAATATGTGTCATTTTGAAATGCTTGTGGCAGAATCATCTTTAAAGTTGTTGGCCATACCATCGTTTGGCATTATGGTATGATTTCAAAGACTACTAAACTCTAAAGCCGTTTTGAAATTGAAGACAATTTTAAATTTAGGAATTTCCACATACAATGTGTCGAATTTTGAAAAAGAATTAAAACTTAAAGTTAAATAAGTTATGCATTAAAATTTTATTATAGTCAAGTTAGAAAAGTATTCGTGAAAGGTCACTTCGACATTTTTTTCTATCTCAGCTGTTAAACATGAAATGCCGGCATCATCTGTTCAGTAGAATTGACCAGGACATCGATACAGTGTCATGGAAAGTCCTGGAGGGCTACCGACCATAACATGAAATGCCAGCATCATCTGTTCAGTAGAATTGACCGGAACATCGATACAGTGTCATGGAAAGTCCTGGAGGGCTACCGACCATAACATGAAATGCCAGCATCATCTGTTCAGTAGAATTGACCAGGACATCGATACAGTGTTATGGAAAGTCCTGGAGGGCTACCGACCATAACATGAAATGCCAGCATCATCTGTTCAGTAGAATTGACCAGGACATCGATACAGTGTAATGGAAAGTCCTGGAGGGCTACCGACCATAACATGAAATGCCAGCATCATCTGTTCAGTAGAATTGACCAGGACATCGATACAGTGTCATGGAAAGTCCTGGAGGGCTACCGACCATAACATGAAATGCCAGCATCATCTGTTCAGTAGAATTGACCAGGACATCAATACAGTGTCATGGAAAGTCCTGGAGGGCTACCGACCATAACATGAAATGCCGGCATCATCTTTTCAGTAGAATTGACCAGGACATCGATACAGTGTTATGGAAAGTCCTGGAGGGCTACCGACCATAACATGAAATGCCAGCATCATCAGTTCATTAGAATTGACCAGGACATCGACACAGTGTCATGGAAAGTCCTGGAGGGCTACCGACCATAACATGAAATGCCAGCATCATCTGTTCAGTAGAATTGACCGGGACATCGATACAGTGTCATGGAAAGTCCTGGAGGGCTACCGACCATAACCACATAAAATAAATCTCATGTCAAATGATCATTCTTTCAAACGAAAGTTGATATATGTCGTATTTATCACATTCTAGGCTATCAAAATCTGGCGTAAGAAATTATTATATTGGGGAAAGATTGCTTACGCTAACCGCTGCTAAATTAAGACGTACACTTTGGAATTAATGTGAATTTAAAAGTAACGACCGATTTTTCTTGTGAGACGAAAAAGTTTGGCTCTGGGTAAAGCTTAGAGAACAATGTTTTTCTCGTTATACAAATAAAGGGACTAGTTGGCTGTTTTGAAAGGAAAGACAGGCTATAGTGCTAGGACACACGATTTGTGAAGAAAAGAACAGCATTAAGGAAACAGCTCTCTCTCTCCGTCTCTCTCTCTCTCTCTCTCTCTCTCTCTCTCTCTCTCTGTCTCTCTCTGTCTCTGTCTCTCTCTCTCTCTCTCTCTCTCTCTCTCTCTCTCTCTCTCTCTCTCTCTCTCTCTCTCTCTCTCTCTCTCTCTCTCGCTATGGAAGAGACAAGGACAGACCGAAATGGGTGAATCGGAAAAGAAATTTAAAATTCAGAGTAGAAGGATCAAAGGAAGAACAAAATGTACACGTGGAGGTTAGGGAGATGTGGGATACACGGAGACAAATCAAGAGAGGACATTGCGATCATTTCACCATTCGTTACCATGATGAACGAAGTCGCAACTGAACACTGCTATTAAGTTCCATTAATATCAGTCTGTTGAACTAAAGAAGACAATTTTAGTTTATTTTATTATTTTTTTCTCAATAGTCTTGCTCAGTTCTCAGTTTATGTTCTGACTATCCTCTCACACCGAGTAATAACGATTAAGGTCGTCCTCTAGATAACGATCGCCGATCCTTATTAACAGCCCCTCTTTACCAAGTGGGGAAACGTTACACCATGTGAAATGTATTTTGTTCCGACTCTGTAGTCTTTCAATAACAGGAAAAGCAAAACTAGCAAGTTTTGTAAAATTTCACAAATAATATAATAATCGAAGATATAAGTAAAACATTTCTGAGGAATTTAAAGTATTATCAACTAAATTCAATCTAATTACAAAAATGTATCACAGTCCAAAAGCAGAGTGTTGCGAATAAATTGTATGTTTAATTGAATATGCTGATATATCAATATCCTTGAATATGCCGAAGTTCTGCCTCAAGTCGAAAAATAAGTGTCAACAGTCTTAAACGTGCTGAAGTGCCAATAGTCATAATTATTTTGAAGTTCCGACAGTCTTTGATATCTTTCAATGGCACTGTCCAGAACAGCTTTGAATAAATTCGCAATAGTCCCAAATTTAATCGTATGGGTACTTTGTAATTTCGCCAATAGCCTAAATAATAATTCCTCTCCAACAAAATCTAAATACAATGTTAAAATCATTTGCAGACTGATATTAACATAAACATATTATAATTTCAAATTAGGAATGAAATAATCGCACATTAATCTCTTGATATACATCTACACATATCTATTATGACCTTATTTCGCAATATCACTTACGAGAAAATCCTCACATCTCCACGTCATAACATAACCAAAATGACTCTACATCCATTGGGACAGTACCCCAAACTCGTTAACAGGTTCATTATTAATGCTAATAAGAATTGTAAACACCTATTTGTAGCTTAATGTAATCTACAGCCACGTGCTAAAAGTTAGACATAATATAAAAAAACAGTCATGTACAAAAAGTTACACACAATATAGATATACATAACACGTGTAATAAATGCTTGTCGCTGGAACTTGTGAATATTCGTTACTTTAAAAAAAATTATGATGGAATATTTTATTTACAAATTCCAAAATTTAAAATTGCAACATCCCATCCTATAATGAAGGACTTCCCTCGCAAAAGAAAAGCGAATGGCCACATTAATCAAAACTTTTCTACTTTATGTCTTCATAAGTTATGACAACTAGGTAAGTATAAGTAAGACGGAAACGATCATTACAGTATGGTCCAGTGATTAATGAACGGTACAACGATCATAATGTAAAGGGCTTAGTTCATGTCTGACTAAAATCGGCCCTACTTCATATTTTAGTCACATTTTCCCTAATGTATCGATTATATGGGTACTTCATAGAATAGTTTTGTTTTCGACATGTCTGTTAGTCTTTACTGTGTTTTAATGGAAAACGACGATAACGTCATACTAACCTGAAAACGTCAATGAGTACATTAAATTGGCGTTTAGTTTCTCTTAACACTCTGCAAGGAAGACGATTTGTTCTCATGTCAATCAACACTGCCACATGTACACATTTTGTTTATCACTTGACTACAGCAAAGGAAGTGGAAGTATGCAATATTTAGATGTTACCGGTTACTGCACTTTTAGGAGAGATGACGCATAAATAATAAGGGGTGTACCACGAAAACTAATCTCATAAACATTGGCATACCAAAAGAGGATTACCATATTTATCCTGCCAAATGATGGTGACAATTACAGCTGTAACCCCATATTTTTGCAAATGGATTCGGCAAATGTTTCTGTGGAGTTTTGATTAGATCTGGATTTTTTTTAACGTAACCGTAACAATATTTCAATCATATCGCTACGATGTCTGCAGCATGGCAGTTGATGGCGATGACTAGCACTGGAACATCATGCCGCAGACGTGTAGCATTATGTCCCACCAAGTCACATTACCCTGACTTAAGTCCGATCAGTCCTAACACTAACCTCTTAACGATGAGCTCATAGCGAGGCAGCTGCTAGTACCTTTTTTTAAATTTTTTTTTTACAAATCTTTGGTATGACTCGGCCAGGGTTCGAAGCTGCGACCTCCCGCACCCGAGGCGGACGGTCTAACCACTAGTCAACCAGAGCGGTCCAAAATATTATAAACATTCAAGAGTTTTTTCAGTGAAATTATAAGAATTAAAAATTGTATAAGGTTCAGAATGTACTTTACAATGTAGGCATTTTAAATTTATTTATTCTATTAGAGATATGTTCGGATACATTTTTTTTCCCATGTGTTTAACTATTGACAAAAAATGTGTGATATAAAACAGGGCATTTCCTGTCGTTTCAATCGCAAAATACTTTGATACTGAAAGTTCATCATCTCCGTATGTAAATCATTAATTATTCAGTCGAGAATGTAACTCCGTATGTAAATAATTACATTATTCAGTAGATAATGTAACTTTCCTTAATGGATGTTTTAAACATACACTAGTATTTTTAAGTTACTGAGCGTACAGTGAAGTTATTTGTAAAAGCAGCAACAAATGTATTGATTATATAATCCAACGAGTAATGCAGTCTAGAATAAAGCTTTTGCTAAAAGGTGAAGACAAGAGACACAAATGAAAATGTTTGGCATTAGATGTATATTGCCAACAGTCTTGAAGGCACTACAAATGAAATTAGTATTGAAACTAAAGTTGAATTGATCAGTAGTAAATAAACAGGACTTACAGTATCTCTACTGTACGCTGTTACAAAATCTTTTATTTGCTTTAGCTTTCTCTACTTGATTCGAAATGTTGAAAATATTTGAAACTAGGCTCGTATTCAATCCCAATAAGGCTGAAAATTGCATTTATAGACACAAATTTCGACGTACGTTGGGCTTTCCTCGTCTGAAACTAGAGCTTGAATACAATAAAATGGTACTCGAAAGTGAACTTAGTGAAAGTGGATGTTGATAATTTCATGATAATTTGTGATAATAAAAGATTATGTACTGCTCTCGACAATGTGATTAACAAATTTTAATAGATGATGATGTATTCTCCTTGAAGTAAAGTGCTTGTTGTACTTGTTATAGATTGTGTTAGAATAGTGGTTAAAGCAAGTAGTTTGTTTTACAATACAATCATAAGTAGTCATCTGAAAGTGTTACCGATTGAAAGTTTCCGTTATCACATCTCTCTCTCTCTCTCTCTCTCTCTCTCTCTCTCTCTCTCTCTCTCTCACACACACACACACACACACACACACACACTCTCTCTCTCTCTATCTATCTCTCTTTCACACACACACACGCACACACACACACAATGAACAAAAGGAAAAGCCCTCTGTATGTTTTTTATATGATACATACACATACTCATCCCAAATTTAAACCTGCAATGTTAATAACTGAAGCTGTCAATGAGATTTAGCATCGATTGTCAAAGTTATATAACTCCCTTGTCATTGACCTAATTCTGTATCTCATTTTGGATTACACTAAATTTGATGTTTAGACAAGCAGCCCAGTCATCCATTATGAAAAATGTTCATGTGACACTGTTCACATACTTCCTGAAGTAAATGTGGAGAGTACATGGATACTTATGCAATTTTGTACAAAATCTTACAAAAATTATTCTGCTTGCAAGTTTTTACTGAAACTAAGTGATTGATAGGATGATGTTTTGTAAATGTACTAATTGGAGCATGTTCTTGAAGGTTAAGAGAATGTGTTCTTAAACATTAATATAAATTATTAGGGTACATTTTGTTTGCTGTCTGTAACTCTAAGTTTGATATAAGTTGCGGCATGAAATTTACTAAACTTTCATTATATATATATATATATATATATATATATATATATATATATATATATATATATATATATATATATATATATATATATATATATATATATATATATATATATATATATATATATATTTAAAACAAGGGTGCAAAACTTTGATACTTTCATTGTTCTCATTTGATGGTTAAGGAGTCACGGTACTAATTCAACTCCCATAGTAAACGTATGGAAACACCATCATATTTAAGATTTAATAACCTAAAAGTTCTGGGTACTGATGATCAGACCTATATTTCTCCAAGCACAACTATCCTTGGTAAAAGCTTCTTTGTGGAGAACACCATATGAGCCGCGGCATTGTTTTGTACGTACATGTGCATGAAACACATGTTATTGATTCTGCACCAAGCTAATCAAGTGCTACTTTTATTATTGAGTATTCCTAAGTCAAGTCTTTAAAAATACAAAATTTGCATAAATAAAATTTTTCTATTTTTTTTAAAATTACACATAGGATAAGCTTTCAAAAGATATTTTTATGAAAATTTTACTTTTCATTATTAACCAATTATGGACCACCAAACATGTATATACTCTATTATTTCTTCACCCATTTTTAGACTGGTTCACAGCTCTTCCATATAATTAGTACCGTGTGTCCTTAAATTTGGACATTACCATAGTTTTTTTTGAGTTGTAACTTACAAACTTATAAATAAAGTAATACTTTATGTAACTGTACACCACGATTTAAAGTTGTTAAATAATATTTTTATGGACCCATCTGCAAGACCAGGTTTCAGGTCAATATCAATTTGTGTGGATCCAAGCTGTCACTTGGAAGCTTTTATGAAAAATCATAGAATTATATGATTTCTGCTTTATAATCATATTTAACAGTGTATTATGTGTCTCTCATGTGTATTGATAGCAAGGTCAAAGATGTGTTCACTAACATTTTATATTTGGTTCTTAACTTTAAAGTCATTTAAGGCAATTAATTAAATCAGCATTTAAATCATAACTTGTGAATGTATCATTTCTATTCATGGCATTTCCAGCAAGGTTTACCTCATAGATCAGAGGTCTCAAACTCAAACCACCCTGCAGGCCACATGAGGGCATTTTGATGCCCTAAGGGGTGCACCACCTTTATCATCTCTATGGACAACTTATGATGGTAGTCATTTTGCAGGTCACAGGATACAGCTTGGTGAGGTCCATTTTTGATATCCCTGCTGTAGATCAACATTATCTATCTTTGTGGCCAGCCTGTAGCTCAAAAATTCACAAATTCTTAAGGATAGTGAGATAGAAAACACACATATGCATGCTTCTTGAAATACTGTCATATCATGTAACACTTTAATAATTCAAATTGAAGGATCAGTGGGTTTTGTTCAAAAATTGTGCTGAAGTAGAGAAGCTTTTCAAATAATGAAAATAAAATGAGAGGTGGATTTGTTCAAGATTTTATCTGCAAGGATATGGTAACAGTAATCACAAGATTACTTTAATGTGGCAGTAACTTGTTATCCAACAATACAGTTTTACATATTGACTTTATCCAACTAATCTTAGTCAAACTTCTATGGTGACATGCCAGTGTACATTTGCTACTTCTTGCCTTCCTAACTTAACACATGTTGAGATGAAAATGACTGTGCTAATATCCATGATAATCTGACAGCGTTTCATGAATCATTTTCATGGTTCTATCGTAAATGTTAATATATTCCATATTGTCTTATCCATGCCATAGCCTTGATTCCATTTAAGATCTTAGGAAGAATGTTTGTATATCATGCAAAGCATGTAATCCATATGTTCAGCATGTCGTTTCCAGGATTGGATTACCTTTAAAGCAGACAAGCACATGCTTAGGGCAAAGAAAAACAGAAGAACTTGAAAAGTAAGATTAATTGTTGATAATAAATTGATGAATTATATATGACCATTTGGATCTGCATGTATGAATATTTTGATTTAGAATGGTAGCAACACTAGTATTTTCCCAACTTTTAACTTTCTGTATTGTTCTTGAGGGTTTCTCATTTTGAAAGGGGGTAGGGGCATCATAATATTGTCAGAGCTTAGAGCCCTGAAAAGCCTTAATCTGGCCCTGGACATTTTTCAAGGTCAAAGACAAATCAAGGACACTTGTGTCATATTAAATAATGATAAGACTAATGATTCATTATTTGTTACAACCATCTTATATCAAACATTATGTTAGCATACTGGCATTCCAGTCTTCTGTTAACATTTCCTTGACTAGCCCATAACTTTGTAGTGATTTCATGAAACTCTGCAAATGTTTATGTCATAACTAGATGGTGTGTCACATCATATACAGGCCCTCTCCCACTAAGGTATGTTCACAGGTTAGGCAAATGAAATTGTAATCATGAGCAGCAAGGAGGGTGAACCCTACAAAATTTTTGCTTGTGAAATTAACCTGAAATAAGGGTTCCTACAGAGGCTGAAAAAAGGGTCGATAACCCTAAACCAAAATATCTAACTTTTATATTACCGTACGGACGGTTATAAACCGCATAATAAACCACATGAGGTTAGCTCAGTTTTGTTATACTATTATTGACTTTTTTAACCCTGATTTTATTGAACTATTTTTACGTTAAAAACTCGAGCAAAAATTTTGTAGAGGTTCACCCTCCCTGCTGCTCCGGACTTTGTCACCTGACTCCGTCAGGATATTAATATCGGGACTTTTAACAATAGATTTGGTTTTTTAAACAGATATACAGTTCATAAACAGATGGTCAAGGGGAATTAACCAAATATTTTATCCAGGCCTATACGATATCTGGATCTAGGAGCATGTAAATTTATCGTTATAAATCCAAAA